TTTTCCAGTCAGTCCGATCCAGTAACCGTGCCATTGGTCATAGTATGTGGGTGCAAAGTTCATGATGAACATCTGAATGGAGACAGTGAGGTTATTCATGCCAATGCTGCATAGTAGATACTGTTATGACCTGCTCATACGATCCTCCTGTGTGCCACGCCCCCTGGTTAACCCTGTGTGATATCCCGACGTAACCAGCTGTTTTTTGTTGTTTCATTTAGTCTTGTGTATTTAAGTCCACGTCAGAGTTTATATCCCCAGTTCCGTCATTGAAGTCTGCCTGTTTGCCCAAATAAATCCCTATTTGATGGACTTCGGTCTGCCTGACCTTGTTTCCGCGTCTCCTGCTCGCTCGCCTACACACAGACGTGACAGATACAGACTCAAGAACAGTAGGAACGATGTGTAAGTAATTCAAAACTCCCAAGTTTTGAGAATTGATTTAGTAACTTTCCCTATTAAATCAAAGTGCATGGGCAGCAAAAATGTGAACGTTCATAGGTGTATTAGATAAAAGGCATATTCTGTGCTGACTAACAGTGGTTATCATATGTACATCTTTGTAGGTAGCTACACAATAGACAATAAGTTCTTGAATTATTACATTCAAGAGTACTGTCACAGAATTATGATTTAATTCATTGGACTGTCGTACCTGTTCCTCCTTGTTTTGTATGGTTAACAGATCAGCCCCCATTTTGATGCATTCAAGACGACTGTCATTCCACGTTTTCCATGGTTTTTCAAGGTTCACAAAATAACACTTTGAATTGTTGAACGTCCAGCCACTTGGGCAAGGTGAGCATCTTCTCGCTGCTCAGGAGAAACCAGGAGTAATAATACATACTAGCTTTCAGGTTGTCCATTCATCTGTCTTCCATGACCGATATCCAGCATATAGCTTATATGTAACAGGGAACAACCTGGACAGGCTGCCAGTCTATCACAGGCGTACACTGATGCACTATGGGTAATGTAGAGATTCCATTTCACTTAATCACATGTTTTTGAAGGTTACTGCATGGGAGGTGTGTGGCTGCAGGTTAGGACTCATGCTCGTGATCAGAAGGTCGCTAATTCAAATCCTGCAAGTATCAGTGGTTTCACCATTGTGTACCTCAGTGAGACTCCTAACCCCAGTTGTTCCAGCAGCACTGTCTGATCCTCACTTGTAAGTTGCTTTGGACAAAAGTAATGTGTGTGCATGAGTATCACCAGAGGTGTGAATCAAACAGAAGATAACAGACCTTCCCAACATATGGGGGAAAACACCACATGAAATAAAGCAGAACTAGGAAGCCCAGGATTCACCTTTTGAACAGTATTTTTCCACAGGAAAATTACGGAACTGTAAAATCTCACCCATCAAAGTCCGATCCTTTCGCAGCTGTGTGTTCTCACTCTCCAGTGATTCCTTCTGAGCAGTGAGGTTACTTTTAAGGTCTTGTAGCTGCTGATTGGCTTCCTTAAAGGCACTGTTTTCCTTTCTGAGCTGCCCTGCAGTATTCTGGGAAAGAAAATCTGCAGAGAGACACAGTCATGCTGAATAGACCTTCTGCACCATGTATTGGGGTGAGAGAGTTAATATGGGCTTTGATGTGACACAAAGGAATTCAGAAACGGAGGAATCAATCCATTAACAGAGAAAAGAATCTGATTCAGTACAAGTGTGTAGTACTTACAGCAGACAAAGAGAGCGATGATGCCAGCCAGTAAAAAAGCACAGGTGAGGCTTAGAAATACTATAGCGCCCTGCTGGGGCTGATATCTGTGCTCAGTTTTCTCTGGAGTCTGTGCAGGGGACCAAGTTTCCTGAACAGTTGTTCTGGAATCTGCAATAAAGCATGACAGTGAAACACTGTAAAGCGTTTGTACTGAAAGTAAAACACTGTAACATATGTTTTGATGTATTGTACACACAGGCGGCTCTAGGCTTTTCTCCCAGGGGCTGCAGGGTGTCAGTCATTACAGGCTAAGGCACACGGAGCTACACATGTATGCAGCGTAGTAACCTTACACACAGTGCATTACAGGAGTAGACAAACCAAATACAAAACCTTAAACCTATCATTGGAACAGTCAAACTGAAAAAAGCAACAAATATAGACACCATCAGCAGTAAACTAGGCAAGGCACTACAACACTATCACACACATGAAAATAAAAAGCAAATACACTTTTCTCTGGAAATTCGCTGTACTACACCCTACAGAACCCGTGTGCGGGAGATTTTCTGTTTGTGCACTTTGCAGGAAAACCAATGACAGGCTGATCTGGCCCATATGGCAAATATTGGAGGACTCTCTCTGGATCAAAGCAGGTTTGGGTTCTGCCAGGCAGGTCGCTGATGCTACATTATCTATTAACGCCTCTCCTTATGCAGATAAATAAATGTGGAAAAAAATTTGAAATTCATTTATAGTAAATTATTACACATTGACATGACTAACACAAACCACATTTTGAAATATAACTTTACAGTATGTAAAGTTCACTGGCAAGAGAAAGTACTCACATGTCAGCAAAGCGGCGATACAAAAATAACAAAATGAAAACAAAATCATGTACCTTGTCACCCAAAAACACCAATGCTGTGTCACTGCAGTGCATGGAATTTATTTTTAAATCATTTTCATAGCTTGGTTAACTGTTTTGCATGTGGTGACTAACACAGTGACCACACACAAACATAGTTTTCAGTGGATAATTACTGCAATGGAAAACTACCATTTTGACCAACAAGACTAACACAACTGACAGCTGTACCAAATGGTGACAAAACCATTTGTACTAAACCATTTAGAAATCTGTGTGAAGCAATGAGAAATGATGATCTGCTGTGCAGAAGTGACATTATGGTGTGAGGATTACACTTCTTGTTTTGCAAATGTTAATTGTAATTTAAGATGTGCTCTAAAGCAATCGAGAACAACTGTAATATCTGCAAGTAGCATTGTCATCTGACCACTATGGAATGTAACTGTACCTCTGGCAAAATCGCCTATGATTCTACGGCACTGTTTCTCAGCTGGTGGGTCGTGGAGTGTGTGGTCACACAGTATTTTCTGCATTTTTTTCTAGTGTTGGACACCCATGATTAATGTGCAATGTCCAAGAAATTGTTTATTATTTTTGAAAATAAAATAACAATATAATTACTCTCAATAATCAAATTTTCTATAGACAGAGGATCCTCACTAGCTGTAAGCATGCAATTTTCAGTCCATCCAGGAAGATCTGCAGGGCCGAACCATGGTATTTTGTCTGTATTCGCAATTTTAGCATTTAATTCTCAACAGCAAAACAGTACAGACTTCCCTAGACATTTGTGATACTTTGGTGCTTTCAGTGTTGCAGCAAAGCTCAGGGTTGGACTGGAGATCAGGAAGTTCAGGAATTTTCCCAGTGAACTGGCCTTTCTTCCCCAACTCCGGCACTGGTCTATATGCCAGGGGTGACCAACCCACTAGTCAACCTCTATCGCAGTAGATGATGAATTGATTCCTCCCTTGGTGGAAAAATAAATGAAAAAATAAATCAAGGGGACCAATATATATAAATCAGTAGCCGACTCAGTAGCTGACTGTTTCGAGGGCAGGGACCCCACACATGTGTAGAATGGTGTGATATGTTTGGTGAAGTAGTCCCTGATTTACATTGTGTTGAGTCACAGAGTAAAGACACCAGTTTATTGTCTGTAACTTTACTTTTATTCTGAACAACACACCAAACTTGGTACTGGACAGCAAGCACACTCTATCACCACAGGTAGCTCAGGGTTAAATAGGGAGAGTGCAGGGCTGTTCACTATGGGCTCCGTGTCAAAACT